TACATGAGCGAAAACACATTTTTTTTTTAGCTTTTTATAGAATGTGATTTATTGAGTTAAAAACCCTATCACAGGTTGTCAAAACACCACAGAATCTTGGGAAAAGGCAAAACTGAAGGTGATTGACAGGCTCACCTGTGTACGTTTCCCTATGAGACTTTACTGCAGGGGAGTGTCCTTTCCCTCCACTCAGGTCTCAGGTTACACTCAGCTCACTGCTCTATTTTCTGTAGTGTGTGTCTTTAGATTTAGGCCCCCTGCAGAGAGGAGCTGAGAAATAGTCTTTGATCTGTGTGTTTTAGAAGGCTGCAGAGAAGAGAGGACCTCAGAAAAACATGTACTACTTTTGTTGGAGGATTTGCTTCATCTCTGTGTACAGATTCAGTCCGATTCAGTCTGTATCAGGTGGTCATTTGAACAAGAGGAGGGGCACAGAAGAAAGGATCAAACAGCCTTTTTACACAATGCAGAGGATTAACCCCTTAGGTTCCACAGTGAGTATAACAAGCATGCTTTACTGCATATACAGACTGATTTTACTGCTGTGGGCTTAGTAACACTTTAATGCTGCACATATTCTATGAAATGTTAAAACATGCTACAGTTCTTGCTGCCATGACACATTATTCAGTGTCTTTGTTAAGTGTCTTAGGTTTCGAATATATCACTATTAAGAAAAAATAGAACAGAGCATAAATTCTGTGTACACTCAGGATATTCACAAGTGCTTCCTCCAGCTCTATTGTCTTTGCAACAGTAAATGCTCAGGGGGTGGTTTGCTCTAACATGTCTTTTTTTCCTTTTGTAGATCTTTTATCAGTTGCATTTGACTGAGCTCTTAAATTCAAATTATCTTGCAATCTTTACCTCCCCTTTAGGATTACAGAGTGGATATAAAACTCAGACCAAGATGAAAAAACTATCAGGACAATTTGAACCTGCACCAGAAAATAGCAAGCACTTAGTACTTAATGTATGCTATGTGTAATCTATTGAAGATCCTCAGTCTACTCTCTCTTATTTCTGTAAGTTCTATGACATCCCTTATCTTAGAAATATGCAAAATTACTGAGGAATTGAAAATGTTGTTGCAAGAGAAGGATAAGGTAAGAAGTCACATGGTAAACATTTGATATGGCATTTTTGCTTCTCAATACACGTGCAGTCTAATCATTGGTACGTTAAAGGGGTTTTCTTAAACACCTATTGATTTGTCAAATCTCTTCTTAAAGTAAGATGTCAAACCTAAAACCTAACTGGATGACATTTAGTTTGCTAAAACACTGTGTATCATAATCTACTTCATTGTTTTTTTCATTTAGCAAATACTGTTTTAAAATTTCTGTAATCCTTTTTGAGTGTCAGTACTGCTGTTCTCCAATCTCCTTGTAGCTACTCTCTTTCTACATGCACAAGCTCAAGGACAGGTTGCATGTCTCAGGACAGGCTTCCTGATGGTGACAATGGCTCAGCATGAATTGACAAAGCCACTCGTAGTCTCCACTAGGTGACAGTAGGAAAGATCAGTTGGTAGACAGGGACAGAGCATTGTCAGCTCATAAAAGGAAATGCCTGAACAAGGACCTTCATGGTCAGATCTCTAGGCTATAGATTTACTATGGAAACCACTTTTGAAATGACTTTGATGTATTAAAAATTATATAATTAACTATGATAACTGGGTTAAGATCTTCTATGATGTACATCAGTCATCAGACAAAAATGTGGGATGTAACTCATCCCTAGTGATGAGCTTTGTAATGGGCGAAGGGTTGGAGTTGAAGGAAGTGCTCTGTACTGGGGACAGTAAGAGGTCTATGAGCCCCCAAAAAATTGGAAAGGGGTTTTTCAACAGATGTGCCGGAATGTGACAGAGAAGCTAAGAAAGGGGTTCTTTGTTGATTTGATATTTATTGCCCTTAGAATGGTCTGTCAAAGTATTTTGTGGCACTACACTGGCCACTTTCTCAGGATGGTGCATAAAACACTGATAAACCAAAAAATGTACAAGTAAAAATAAATGTATATATATACAGTGCATCCAAAAAGTATTCACAGCGCTTAACCTTTGCCACATTTTATTATGTTACAGCCTTATTCCAAAATTGATTAAATTCATTTTTTCCCTCAACATTCTACAAACAATACCCCATAATGACAATGTAAAAGAAGTTCGTTTTGAAATCTTTGCAATTTATTAAAAATAAAAACTTAAAATAAGTATTCACAGCCTTTGCTCAATACTTTGTTGAAGCTCCTTTAGCACCAATTACAGCCTCAAGTCGTTTTGAGTATGACGCTACAAGCTTGACACACCTATTTTTGGGCAATTTCTCGCATTCTTCTTTGCAGTACCTCTCAAGCTCCATCAGCTTGGATGGGGAGCGTCAGTGCACAGCCATTTTCAGATCTCTCCAGAGATGTTCAATCAGGTTCAAGCCTGGGCTCTGGCTGGCCACTCCAAGACGTTCACAGATTTGGCCCGTAGCCATTCCTTTGTTATGTGGGCTGTGTGCTTAGGGTCATTGTCCTGCTGAAAGATGAATCGTTGCCCCAGTCTAAGGTCCAGAACGCTCTGGAACAGGTTTTCATCAAGGATGTCTCTTTACATTGATGCATTCATCTTTCCTTCAATTCTGACTAGTTTCCCATTTCTTGCCTCTGAAAAACATTCCCACAGCATGATGCTGCCACCATCATGCTTCACTGTATGGATGGTATTGGCCAGGTGGTGAGCGGTGCCTGGTTTTCTCCAGACATGATGCTTGGCATTCAGGCCAGAGAGTTCAATCTTTGTTTCATCAGACCAGAAAGTTTTGTTTCTCATGGTCTGAGAGTCCCTCAGGTGGCTTTTGGTAAACTCCATGTGGGCTTCCATTTGCCTTTTTACTGAGGAGTGGCTTCTGTCTGGCCACTCTACCATACAGGCCTGATTGGTGGAGTGCTGCAGAGATGGTTGTTCTCCTGGAAGGTTCTCCTCTCTCAACAAAGAAAAGCTGGAGCTCTTTCAGAGTAACCATTGGGTGCTTGGTTACTTCCCTGGCTAAGACCTTCTCCCTGGATCACTTATTTTGGCCAGGCGGCCCACTCTAGGAAGATTCCTGATGGTTCCAAACTTCTTCCATTTACGGATTATGGAACTGTGCTCATTGGGACCTTCAATGCTGCAGAAATGTTTCTGTACCCTTCCCCAGATCTGTGCCTTGATACAATCCTGTCTCGGAGGTCTACGGACAATTCATTGAACTTCATGACTTGGTTTGTGCTCTGACATGCTATGGGACCTTGTGGAAACATCTCAAGGGTGATCAGTGGGAACAGGATGCACTAAAGCTCAATTTTGAGTGTCATGGCAAAGGTTGTGAATACTTATGTACGTGTGTTTTTTTTTGTTTTTTATTTTTATTAAATTGCAAAGATTTTAAAATGAACTTCTTTCACTTTGTCATTATGGGGTATTGATTGTAGAGTGTTGAGGAAAAAAATTTATTTAATCCATTTTGGAATAAGGCTGTAACATAACAAAATGTGGCAAAACTTAAGCACTGTGAATACTTTCTGGATGCACTGTGTGTATATATATGTGTGTACACATATATATACATACAGGTGTTTGTGTTTGCATACATGTTATCTTACGGTAGTTATCAAATTCAAGAAATCAAACATCAATAACACTCCGTAAGTTCCTATGATAGTCAGAAGAACAGTCTGACAAACTATGTTCATTATCGAGCAGGGCCCTCTGATTCCTCCTGTATTCAGTTGTATTGTAACCGTACTGTTCGCCCTCATATTGTAAAGCGCTGCGTAAACTGTTGGCGCTACATAAATCCTGTATAATAATAATATGTAAGGGAAAAGGTAATATCATAATAATAATAGTAATAATATACACTATATAAGTAACTCTCTAAACTTCCACATGAAAGTAAAAAAATGTGATTACTCATAAGGCTCCATGCACACGGGGCGTTTTAATAACACTGGTAGCGTCAGCTGTGTAAAGTCACGTTAAAAACAGTGTTTCAGTGTGTTTTTTTAGTATTTTGCATTAGCTTTTAGCCATGTTTTTTCCTTGTTTTTATTTTTTAGCTGGTATTTTTGTCAAAAAAAAGTCCAAAAACACCAGTTTGCTGCGTTTTATGGTGTTTTGCCGTGTTTTTCAGTGTTAGAGCGTTTTTTACAGCTAAAAAAACTCCTCTAGAAACCCACTAGTTCTGGGGGGTTTTTCCAGCCAAAAAGTGCTCCTGCCAAAAATGACGAATGCAGTCATGGACACATAGGATAACATGCTGGGGAGTTTACTGGCTTTAGAAAAAAAAACACCAAAAGCCAAAAACAGAAATTGTAAAAACGTCCAGTGTGCATGAGGACTTAAAAGCAAGCCCAATAATATAAAATGTCAACATAAATACATACAAAGCAAAACATACTACATTATATCAAAATATACTCCATTAACCACTTGCCCTCCAGAGGATTTAACCCCCTTCCTGACCAGGCCATTTTTTTCGATACGGTGCTGGTTTATTTTAACTGACAATTGCGCGGTCATGCAACACTGTACTCAAATTAAATTTATCTTTTTTCTCCCATGGATGGAGTTTCTTTCAGTGGTATTTGATCACCTGTGCGTTTTTTATTTTTTGTGCTTTAAAAAAAAAAGCCTGACAATTTTGAACAAAAAAAAATATTTTACATTTTTTTGCTATAAAACATATCCAGTAAAAAAATTTAAGAAATCAAATTTCATCATTCATTTAGGCCAAAATGTATTCTTCTGCATGCTTTGCTAAAAAAAAATCCAAATATGTGTAAATTAATTGGTTTATGTGAAAGTTATAGCGTCTACAAATGGCGGTATATATTGGAATTTTTTTTTTTTAATTCTAGTAATTGTGGTGATCAGAGACTAATCGCGGGACTGCGAAAGGTATTCTGACACTGGGTAGGAACTGACTTGGTGTCACTGACAGTCAGGGGTGGACTGATAACTCATGGGGCCCCCGGGCAATAGGGGATTATGGGGCCCCTGTATCCTCACCCACACTCAAACCACACCCAAAAAAGCATATGAAAGGTACCAGGGGCATTTCATGGGGCACCCTACTGAACCCAGGCCCTCGGACAGTGCCCAAGTTCTCTAATGGTCAGTCCACCCCTGCTAACAGTGACACTAATACAATGATCAGTGCTAATAAAAAGCACTGACACTGTTCAAATGACACAGGGCAGGAAGGGGTTAACATCTGGGGTGATCAAAGGGTTAACTGTATGCTGTGCTTGTTTTACTGTGCAAGTATGCTGCTTTGTATTGCTCTTCTATGCAGAACAATACAAAGCAGCGTGCTGAAGCTGACGGGGAGAGATCTGTATTGTTTCCATACAGACCTCTCCCCTGTCAGTGTTCCTCAGCGATCACCGCGTTCCGTAGAGATGTTAAAAAAGTAATAGATATCATTAAATCTATTTTTTACTTATTTTATAGTTCTTATTATATGTCTAAATCAATTACATATTTTTGCATATATCATGTTACAGAAAACAAAAGTTATTAGTACAAATGAAAAGTAAGTGTTTTTTTTAATACTTGGAGTCGTTTAAATTAATATAAACAACTTTTATTATGAAGGTTCTGATGCACAATAAACTCTTTAATATCACAAACGTTAAGGTTATCTTCTATACACTTTATTTTGTTTTTGTTCTTTTTTATATTAAACTCTTAATTTATTATGTGTATTAATAATATTTCTTTCTATAGCAACATGATATGTTTATATAATATATATAGTGAGTGTGAGGTTGATTTACTAAAGGCAAATAGTCTGTGCACTGCAAATGCAGTTGCTGTAGATTTGAGGGGGAAGCTCTGAAATGAAGGGAAGCTCTGCTGATTTCTATTATCCAATCATGTACAAGCAAAAATGCTGTTTTTTTATTTTCCTTGCATGTGATTGGGTATTCTTTGAAAAGTGAAGCTTTACCTCATTTACTAAGTTCTGGAGCAACTGCACTTGCAGCGCACACATTTGCCTTTCATAAATGAAGAACCCATTTCTCAGCTTCTCCTTCACATTGAGGCATCTCTGCTGATACCACTTTCCCATTCTTTGGGGCTCATAGACCTCTTACTGTAAGCACACCGGAATCCTGAGACTGCAGGGCGTAGCATTGTCCGGATCACCCCACCGAGCATTGAGAGCGACCTTACTGTGCACAGGGTCAGTCATATTCCTTGCAGGCTTTCACTCCTGGTTGTCTGGTCCCCCATTAGGGAGCTCAGGAATCCAACGGATGTGTGTACACCATTGCAATTTACTGTCTCATCATATATGTCATCCAGTTATCATACTACTAAAGAACTCTCCTGCGGCCTCTGTCTTTTTTTTTTTTTTTCTCCTTATCTTTGGAGGCAACCCAGTTCTGTACAGGGGAGGTGAGGGAGAGAGAGGGGCTCCCCACAAATATATTTAGAAAAAAATATATATATGTGGCATATATTTACAATATATTGGCCTATGCTAATATATTTTAACATGTATTCTGAAGATCTGAAGATCTTTTGTGTCAACGTACATTTCGTGGGCTGAATTAGAAGGACTTTACTGGTTTAGCTCATAAAGTGTATTTATTTTCTGTGCATATAACTCTTACACGTTAATAGTCATAGTTAAGGTATATCTGTAGGCAACACTTTTGTTTTAGCTTTGGGCAGAGTAGGCAATAGTCCAAACCCCTGTCATGTTTTTTGTTGTTTCTTGTTGACCCCTTTCCTCCCAGTTTCTGGTGGCCCTTTATCTGAGTCATTACATCAGGGGTGGGACAGATTTCCCAATGACATGATCACTGTGATTGGCTGTCATAGTGGTCACATGATCAGGAGCATATACCGCTGGATCTCAATTATAACCAGAGACCGGGAGCTGTCTGTTACAGCTCGGTCAATGTGCTAGGAGTGTGCTGGCAGCACACAAACCGTGGTTGCCCATGGACAAATTTGTGCGGACTGTGGGCATTAAAGTGAGACAGATGTTTCATGTAACATTTCCTTCCTGGAATCCATGTGCCCTTATACCCATGAAGACTCTTGGGATGTATGACATAATTTTGGCCTAGGAAACCAGGAAGCAACTATAGTTTAAAACAAGTAAATATACTATACCTTCCTGTGTATTTATTAACGCTAGCAGCATAAGGAATAAAAATAGGTAATGTTGATTGGGAGAGCTTAATTGTGCTTTAACTGCTACAGGGCGGCACGGGTGAGGAAAATCAAGTATATATACCTGATTTTGCATTTCCGGGTAGGGGACGCACGCCACCATTCACGACCGCAGCTGTCAATCACATGGTCCTGGCTGGTGATTACTCGCTGGAGCCCGTTGATTTCCGAGGATCTCCGACGGGGAGGAGAACTGTTTTTACTAATAGTTCTCCTCCCTGTCAGTTCGGGCACACTGCTTTGGATGGCTTGGATGTTCATTCCGTTTGTTTTTACTGAAGATAAATAGGGTTTTCCATTAAAAAGAGGATGTTAACGAGGAAAAAACTGATGTAACTGGATGAAATAACGGATGTAAACTCACCTCAATGCCGACGACACCCAAATTTAGGTCTCCACCCACCACCTCACCCCCTCACTCTCTGCCCGCATCGCCCACCTCTAAACGACATATCAGACTGGATGTCGCTCCATTTCCTCAAACTTAACCTATCCAAAACCGAGCTCCTGGTCTTCCCCCCACCCCGTGCCCCCCCCCATCCTCTCCATCACTACTAACAACGTCACCATCTCTCCCACCCCACACGCCAAAGTCCTGGGTGTCACCCTGGACTCCCACCTCTCCTTCCTACCCCATATCCAACTGCTATCTAGATCTTGCAGGCTCCACCTCCGCAACATCTCCAAGATACACACATTCCTCACCCCAGACACTACTAAACAACTTGTACACTCCCTCATCAACTCACGCCTGGACTACTGCAACTCCCTTCCCACTGGCCTACTCAAACGAACGCTATCCCCACTCAGGTTGATCCTAAACTCAGCGGCTAGACTCATCCACCTCACCAACCTCTCCACATCTGCCTCCCCCCTCTGCCAATCCCTTCATTGGCTCCCGATTGCCCAACACATCAAATTCAAACTGCTAACTCTGACCTACAAAGCCATTCACAATGCCGCCCTGAACTACATAACTGACCTGATACCCAAATACTACCCTACCCATGCCCTCCGCTCCTCACAGGACCTCCTACTCTCTAGCTCCCTGGTCTCCTCCTCCCACACCCGATTGCAGGACTTCTCCAGGACTTCCCCCATCCTCTGGAACTCCCTACCCCAATCCATCAGACTGTCACCTACCCTCCTCACCTTCAGGCGCACCCTGAAAACCCTCCTCTTCAGGGAAGCCTACCCCAACCTCACCTAACACTCGACCTCACCTAACAACTAACCTCCTCCACTCCTCCCCCACCACTCCATCCCCCATAGCCATCTCCTCCTGTACCACCTTCCCCTCCCTCCTAGATTGTAAGCTCGAAAGAGCAGGGCCCTCGAACCCCACGTGTAGTGTACTGTTACTGTCTTGTCTCATGTTCTGTCCCCCTTGCTACTGTACAGCGCTGAGCATACCCTTTGGCGCTATATAAATGCTGTATAATAATAATAATAATAATGTATTCTAATTCTATTTTAATTTAAATATATTTTCTAAAGGCATATATTTAAAAATATATTTTTAAAAAAATATTTTCTTCAGCTTGTTTTTTAACATATAATAAAGTAATTTTAACTGCTTGTAAATGCATTTCAAAAATGTAGATTAAATGTATTTTCAAAGACATATATTTGAAAATGTATTTTTAAAAATATTCTTCATATATTTTTTAATATAAAAAAAATACATCTCAACATACACTTTATATATATTTTGAAATATATTTTTTAAATATATTGAATACGGCCAAAATTGTAGCATTTCAAATATATGTCAATATATTTGGGAATAAGTTTTTTAAAAATATATTTAAAATATATTTTTCTTCCACGTGGGTTTGCAGTGGTGTTTGTACCAGTGACATCACCGATATAGAGACATTTTCTGCTTTCAGTGACGCCACTATCACAGGGGCATTTTTTTCTTCTCAGTGACACCAACAACACAGGGACATTTTTTTCTTCTAGTGACACCACCAACACAGGATTATTTTGTCTTCTAAGTCACACCTCCGACTCAAGGACTTTTTTTTCCTTCCAGTGACACCACCGACTTGAAGACATTTTTTCCTTCTAAGGACACAACCAACTCAGACAGTTTTTTCATTTTAGTGACAGCACCGATGAGAGGACATTTTTTTTCCTTTTCAGTGACAGCACGATGAGGGGACTTTTATTCCCTTTTCAGTGACAGCTCCAATGAGGGGACATTGTTTCCTTTCAGTGACACCACCGACTTAAGCATTATTTTTCCTTCTAGTGATACTCAACATCAGTGACACCCCTGACGCAGGGACCTTTTTTCCTTTGAGGGACATCACCAAACCAGGGACAGTTTTTTCTTTGTGGTTGTAAAGGCTGAAGGTTTTTTAGACTGCATGAAGGTAGAAAAGCTTCTGTGTGCAGCAGTTCCCCCAGCCCCCCCTAATACTTACTTGAGCCTCATCACCATCCAGCGATGTGCACAAGAGCCTCGGCTGTCCCTGGTCTCTGCCTCCTTATTGGTGAGACAGCAAGTAGACATTGGCTACCTCTGCTGTCAATCACAGCCAGTCAGCCAATGAGGAGGGGGCAATTTGTGGCGCCGTGCGTGAGTGGACACACGGAGCAGTGGGTGCCCCCAAAGCAAGCTGCTTGCTGTGGGAGCACCCAACAAGGGGGAGGGGCCAGGAGAGCCTGAGGGGGACCCAAAAAGAGGAAGATCCATGCAGCTCTGTGCAAAACCACTACACACAGCATGAAAGTATAGACATGTTTGTTATTGTAAAAAAAATGAAACTGTAGAATCGCTTTAAACATTTCAGTGCAGTGTACCACAAACATTGGTGCCATTTCATTGCATGTCACCATTAATACCAACATTTTGGTGTGTGCTGCCATTGGTCCTGTTCCCTTTTCCACCCAATAGGGGGATTGGGGTGTCCTCT